TAATTATTAAAAAGAATGTTAAGATGGCCTAATTAAAAACTAATTCAATTATGGTTTATTTACAAAATAAAAATAATAATAATAAAAATGATGATTATATTTTTTTGGGTTTTTTATAAAAATATTAATTGATTAATTGTGTTAATGGTTAATTTAGAGAGAAAAATAAAATAAAACAAATAGATATAAAAAGAAAATAATGCAAACCCACGGGGGGTTTTGGGCCAAATAGGAGGGAGCACGAAGTCGCGGCAGAAGCGAATCTGGAAGCGGCGGTTGAGTCTGCGGTTGCGCGGCGAAACTGCGATTTGGACGCTTCTCGTTCTTCTGTTTCTGATTCAGAGAGCCAAATTCCAGTCATGATCTTCACAAAGAATTTTATGGATAAAGTTAAAACAATCAAAAAGAAAATTAAATAGAATAAATGAAATTGAAAATGTTAGAATTTTGTGTTGCTTTATCATGACTCAATGATGTTGTTGTGGTGCTGTCAAGAGGATGATGATTTGTGGTTGCATCAGTTTTGAGCTCGTGTCAACGGTATGAACATGAGCTTGTGTAAGGTTTCTGTTTTGGTTGATGAGATTTTTGTTAAAGTTGGTTCATGGGAAATTGCACGTGAAAAGTGAATTTACAGTGCAACAAGAAGAAAAGTGGGTGTTTCCATCGAGTGGCCTCCGTACAGGATTTTGTATAAGAGAATATGAGGTTTTTTTTTGTGGAATTTTTTGTTTTTTCGTTTTAGAGAGTTCTCTAGGTTGTGTTCACTCTTTTTTTTTTGATCACTTGCATATGCATTATGTAATGTATTTCAATTGGAATTAAGGGTCTTGAAGCCTTGCATTCATACTTAGGATCTTGCCATAAACCTCTATTAACAAACTTTCCATCTTTGTACCAATTTTGAATTCTTGCTTGATTAGGCCTTGAAACGAATTTGGGATATTGTATAATGATGATTCAAAGCTAATCAAGACCAAATATCCCCCTTAATTAACCTTCTTGATTTTTATTTGATTTTAAAGGATTTAAAATGAATTAAATCCAATAAAATCAAATAAAAATGAAAAAATTAATTTTAAAATTTGAAATAAAATGTGGGACACGTGGGAAGCATGGTCAAGCTGATTCAAATGGAAAAAGTGGGCCCCTTTTGTCAAAAATGAAATTTCAAGGATAAATGATTTTGGCCATTTCACAAAAATTTCCCAACTTCTCCAATGCATATCTTGCTCAATTTTGAAGTTATGAACATATTCTTGGACATTTTGGAAAGGTCTTGAAGTCCTCTAACCAATGTATTTGGTCCCATGTCATTTTGATTTACCAATATCAAGTTATGGTCTTTGACTTAAAGTGCCTTTTTGTTGACTTTTGAAAATGACCTATAATGTTGAAATTGATAACTTTTTGTGAGAGCATTTCTTGGACTTGGAATGTGAAGATGAGTTGTAGGAAATGTATTCCCCTTCAAGATGAGCATTTGATGGGATTTTTCTGATAAACCATGAAAAAGTTATGCCTTGGTCAAGTTACAGTTGACTTTTCAACTGTCCAAAAATAGAAACTTTTGACACCTTGATGATTTTTGAGCCATTCTTGTGAAATCATGGTCAAGACTTGACCAAATGATGATTGTGGCTTCAAAATAAGATGTTGACCAAAAATTTGACTTTTGACTACCAAATGACCATTTTGCCCCTACAGTTGACTGTGAAGCAATTAGGGTTTTTGACTGTGCAACTTGACCTTGTGAGCCTTGAAACTTGACATGTAGGTGCTTGACAATGTGTATGAGCATATGGGACTTGATTGAGCTCTTGGAAACCTCAACTTCCTTGCAAGAACCAAAACCCTAATTTGACTGGCCTTAGGAGAGTGGTTGACTGAGTAGCCCTTGAGTAGACTTTGAACCATTTGAGGTGATGCTTGGCAAAACTTTGAAGAATGTGGGAGGGCAAATTTTGGGGTACAACACACACAATTTCTCATTAACGGGTACCTGTCCATCTTCTATTGTTCTCTTTTTTGAAAGTACCTCCTTCATGAATTTCTGGTACAAGGGCATTTTCTTGAGTGCTTCAAAGAACGTTATGTTGATCTCCAGCTTTTTAAAATTTGACAAATTTATCAAACTCTTTCTCTTTTATGTCCTTCTTTTCCACTCAAGATGGATACGACAACTTAATCATTGGTTTAGTATTCTCTTGAACTAGCTTCGCATATGATACCACTTCTTCATGTTTTTTATTGCTCTCTCTCTCTCTCTCTCTCTCTCTCTCTTACTTCCAGATCTAATTCTATGATACTATCACCAAATTTTACCTCATAATCTTTTTCGCCAGTAGCTTTCTGACTCCTTGTTGTAACAACGTTCACATTCTCATGATTTTTCTGATTTTCTTGTGCTTGCAGAGATAATTGTTGTGCAATCTGTCCCATTTAAACTTCTAAATTTTTTATTGCAACTGTGGTATTTCTGTGATTTCTCCTTTTTTATTCTTGAAATTGAGAGGTATGGGCAACCATATTTTCAATAGCCACCTCCCACTCTTCCTTCTGAGGAGCTTGTTGCTGATCTTTCTAGGAGAAGTTAGGACGACTCTTCCACCCATGATTATAGGTGTTAGAATATGGATTATTCTGCTTCAAAAATTTGATCTCCTCAATTTGTTATGGAGTTGCAAGACAATGGACAATCATGTGTGGTCAACTACAAATTTCACAACCTGCCTTCTGTGCCTATTGAACCTAAGCTACCTGTTGAGTATCCATGTTCATTGATTTCAGCTTTTTCTCCACTTTTATAGTAATTGCCTCTTCAATTTTGAATTACTTGTTAACTTCTAACTCCAGATCAATCACCCCCTCTGGTTTACTTACAACCCTGTCATATAGCTCTAGATGCTCATTTGCAACAATGACTTCAATAATCTTCTTCACACCAGTGGCTGTTGTAAAGTTGGATGAGCCACCGGCTGTTGTATCATTAAGCTGCCTGATGTACATTCGGAGGCCATTCACAAACATCTGCATTTGCTCAGCTTGATCCATACTGTGAGTGGGGCAAGCTACCAATAATCTCTTGAACCTCTTGTAAGCGTCACCTAATGACTCTCCTTCTTTCTGCTTAAAATTCACAATATCATATCTTTTGCGAATGTAAACAGAAGCAAAAAAGTATTCATCAAGAAATGTTTTCTCCATTTGTTCCCAAGTAGTAATACTCCCTGTCGGTAATGAGTAAAATCACTCTTCAGCATCTTCGGACAGCGTGAATGGAAACATTCTTAATTTCTTTGTCTCTCCAGAGCGCCCCTTAATTTTTAGAGGAGTGCTCATAGTGAGAAACCTCTGCAAAATGTTTGTTTGCATCTTCATTTATCTTTTCGGTGAAAGATATGTTCTCAAGCTGTCGAATTATTGAGGGGTGCAATTGGAAATTTGTGACAGATACTAGTTGATTCACAATAGTCAAATCGATGTGCTGGAGCATTTTCTCCTCCATAGTCTCTAAGAAGTCTCTCATGTGGTGGTGAATCTTCAGCCATTGGTCTTTCTTCTTCAGACTCTGAACCTGAATGATCTGATGAACCTTCTGATTCAAGTCTAACTATGCGAGCTTGTCTGCGCCTTGCGTGAAAAGTTCTTTTGATTTCTGCGTCAAAAGGAAATTCAGCCGAGGGCTTTCCTCGCATACAAAGGTTAGACACAAATTGGTAATAACGAAAAATATAAAAATATAGAAAATAAAATTTTAGTTGCAAAGCAACAAAATTTTAATTGAACTACAATTGAACTTAATATATTGGCAGTCCCCGACAACGGCACCAAAAACTTGATCGTCAAAATAACAAGTGTACTATTATTCCAATGTAGTAATAATGGGAAATCTCAAAGTATCGATTTCAAGGAATGCATACAATTATCAAGTTCAATTCACGTTCAATTAAACAAAAACTTAATCTGGGGTTTTGGTTTTGAAAATTGTCACTTAACTGATAGCAGAAAATATAAATTGGCTTTTCACTAATACGAGGAGCATGCTAGAGGTAAGTGTGTGATTTGCCCCTATAATAACCTTTACTCTTGATTTCTTCAACAAGTTCATTACCTTCAACTACCGAATCTTTAGTTTATTTTCCTCTAAGTCCTTAGTGGGAAAACCTTTGGTCCTTCATCCTAATACCTGTGTAAAAATCACTGATCAATGAGCTTGTTGGTGTTAATTATTTCTTCCATTTTTCAGATGCATTAACAGGAAAAGCAAAGAAGAAAAAGACAACCATGCTATGGTTAGGTGTGATATGGTCAATTTAGAACCTGCGCAACATTATATTTTTCGATAATGGCAAGTGTGTGCTAGACGATTTGGTGATGAGCATTAAAGTTATTTCATGAAAAATGGCTAGCCATTGATAATAGAGGGCGAAATTGTACTACTTTATACAATTGGATGTATTTTCCATTAGATTTCTTGAACCTCAGTTAAGCATTATTATTTTGTTATTTTGCTTTATCTAGTTGTATTGGATTGAATACCCCTTGTACTCCTTTTAATAATATATTTTACTTATAAAAAAAGGATTAAATAAGTTTTTGATCTCTCTAGATATAACGGTTTTCAACTTTAACCCTTTAAACATTTTTTCAAAGAATGATCTTTCTAAAAATTTTAATTTTAACTATTAATTTATATTACAATTTAGCGATGGTTTTAGCTACAGTTTTTTATTTAGTGACAAAATTAAAAACTATTTTAACTACCGTTTTATCATGAAGAAGTAAAAGTTAAAACTAAAGTTTTTAAGAGAATAATTATTTAAAGAAAATATTTAGAAAAAATAAAGTTGAAAACGGCAAACAAAATATTTAACAGTAAAAAACCAATAATTGTAACAAAACGACACCTCACCACACGTCGTCTAGCGTCTTTCCACCATTCTCTCTCTCTCTCTCTACCACCAATCATCTTCATCAATGAAAAAAACATAAACAAAATGAAGAATTCATCACCACCATGTTTCACTGATTCATCTTCATTTTCTGTTCCAAACACTTTCATAGGAATTGTTCTTCTCAACTCCAAAATCAGATCTACATCTTCTTGTAACAACAACAACACTCTTCTCTTAACTCGTTCTGAGCTTCTTAGAGACTTTGCAACAAGAGAGTTCAATGCTTTTCTTTGGGTTTTTCTTCTTGTTATCACTTTTCTTTTGCTTAGAAGACTCTTCAACGTTTTCACTTTCTTGTACAAAGCTAGAACTATACCTGGACCACCAGCTTCATGTAAGATTGATCAAGTACTAGCAACAGAATTGAACGAAAGATTGATCAAAACGGCTAATCTGAACCCTCTGAAGGTTGCAGACTTTATCATAGATCGAATAGGAAAAATCAGAGTCGGGGGAAGCATTAATTGTGAGTTGGTTTCTCAGCGTATGGCTTTCACATTAATGGGAGCCACGTTCTTTGGAGACGGCTTCTTGACATGGCCGAAGGCTGCGATATATGAAGAACTTCTTATGATGGTTTCTAAAGAATCTTGCTTTTGGGCTTCCTATAATGTTACTCCATTTTGGACACGAGGATTTTGGAGGTATCAACGCGCATGTAAAAAGTTAAGAGGCTTAACTGAAGAGATTCTTCATTGCAGAAAGAGTTGCGAGAGTTTAGACCATATCGATCAAAATGTTCGTAGCGAGAGTTCCAACCTAGAAACAAAATCAGCAAATGGTGCACAATGCCGTTCTAATGATCATGCGTGTGACATCATGCGTGTGATGCTTCATGGATCTCAAACTACAGCGGTTTTATTCGCCAATGTATTGACTAATCTTATCAAGCATGTGGAAATACAGGATAAGGTAGCAATTTGTTTATTCTGTCTGTACTTATCCGGTTCTTAATTAAATTTCACTGTCGATCATTATATTTATGTTTATTCTTCCGTGATCAAAACCCTGGGTTTTGAGTCCTATACTGAGTCTTCTTATACGATTCCCTATTGCTTATTTTCATATGCTTTTGCAGGTTTATTCGGAGATTAGCATGGTTGGGAGAAACCCTTTGAAATATGAGCATGAAGATGTATATAGGATGCCTTTGCTATTGGCTACAATTTATGAATCTGCGCGTCTTCTCCCCACTGGTCCCATGCTTCAGAGGTGTTCTATGAAACAAGGTGAGATATTGCTTACTCTTCACTGCAGAAAGTATAATATCGATTATGTAATATATGCAATGATTATATAAATATTTATATCCTCGAATGCGGAAATTTAACTTCTTGTTCGTTAATGTTCATCCCTGTGTTAGACTTGAGATTTGCAACTGGTGTAACCATTCCTGCTGGAGCTGTACTGGTTGTTCCGGTTCAATTGGTACAGAAGGATGACATCAATTGGGGGAAAGATGCAAGTGATTTTAATCCATACCGATTTCTGTCAAATGTTACCGAAGGATCAGGTACGAGCCTCGTTACTTAGCTGACAGGTTTTGTATTTTTTTAAGTAACCTCGAGATTCGTAATTTAATATTGTTTTAGTCGTTCGCTGTGGATTATGTCTACTACCCTGACATGCCTTTGTTGCAATACTCTATACCATCGCTAATCTTTCGATATTGATGTTTCTTCTTGGTTCTGAAGAACAACTTGGTTATGGAATCAGCTCGTTTGTACTAAACGATCCAAATGAAAATGCAGCATTTCTTCCTTTTGGATCCGGAACATGTTGCTGCGTTGGGCAGAAATTTGTTATCCAAGTTGTTGCCACATTGTTGGCATCATTACTCAACAAATACGAGGTTTGTCCTGTGAAAAATCGTTCTTGTTCTTGCTACTTCTACTACCGGAGAAAGACACGAAAACAATCTACATCATAAAATTATAGACAACTATTTTTGGACCTATATAATTTTTCTGTGACAACTAACTAATGTTAGCTTTATATGCAGATAAGGTTCAACTCAGGCTCAGATGGTGACTCAGAACCATTGAAAAATCTTCCTCGTCAGTATCATCCTAATTCACAAATACAGTTTGTGAGAAGGGGCCAGTGAAAGAAAGAGAAAGACAGGTATACTATGTAGATAAAGTTGATACAGGAAAATATCAGCGTAACCGTTGTCTTTTTCTTGACGCCTCATATTTTTCCTTTTTTCCAAAATGAATGGGGAAGCTCGTCTCAATACTAATGGCTCGCTGTGGTTATATGGGAGGATACAACTTGTGTTTAGTAACTCAAGTTTTTTTCCTTCCTATTTTTAGTCATTGCCCTAGTGTTTGGCTTAAAGTCATGGCGCATGTTTTTGTTGGTTTTTTAAGCACTAAAGGTATATAAATCGCTGCTAGGAGCCATAGGTTTTCCTTCCCCTTCTCTGGATGAGGAACTCTTTCTCTTTTGATGTTGTAACTTTTTTTACTTCGGTAAGAAGTTGTTCTTGTATTGTATCATCTTGATATTGTTAGAATAAATTGTAACCGTATGTATAATTGTGCTGCTACAAATTCAACATTTGAGCATGTCAATGAAATGAACCAAATGCAATTGTTTCCTGATTTTGTCATTTAAGAAAGTGTGGAGAAGTACCTTTAAAGTCAAATATTGTTGTATGTGTAATTGCTAAGTAAATGGTTAGATTGACCATGAGTTTGGCAAAAGTGTGGAACCACCTTTAAAGTCAAATATTGTTATGTGTGTAATTGCTAAGTAAATGGTTAGATTGGTCATGAATTTGGCAAAAGTATGGAAGTACCTCTTGAGTCAAATATTGTTATGTATGTAATTGCTAAGTAAATGGTTAGATTGGACATGAGTTTGGCAAAATTTAACTTGTAAATTAAAGAATGGGTCATCCTAGCTTGTATCCTAAGTGTTTGTAAATTAATATATGTGAAGTTAGAAAGGAGAATGTTAATGTTGAGGAGTTTGAGGAGTGTCATGAAGTGTCATGAAGTGTCATTGTGCTAAAGGTTTAGAATCCAAGAGACTTTAATAATACATATCCATCAAAAATTTTAAAACAACAAGTGTATGAATCATCTCTCTTATGTAATCAATATTTCCTCTATTTTTAGTCGATGTGAAACTTACATTCCTCTACAAAGATGCACAAAAACAAATCAAAGAATTTATACTTAATTAGATTTGAAAAAAGATCATGAATTCTCTTTTCCATATTGCCATTGATCGTGTTCCTAGGAGAGTGAATGAGTGGATGATAAGTTTTTGTTCTTTTTGTGTCTTCTTAGCTTGTTAACAATTTCTAGGTAACATGACCATGTAGCTTTTTCTTGTTTAAAAACAAATACAAATTCAGAAACCACGTGAAATATTCAGTCCTTGGTTGGTGCTTACCTCAAATTTCAAAGATTAAAGAAATATCATTCACAATACCTACTCTACCGACAATTTCTGCAAGCAATATATTAAAAATAAAAAATATAGCAGCCAAAGTTGAAAAGAGTTGTATGTCTCCACACAATAATAGAACAATAGTGTCAAGTAGACTAAACTATTCATTAGTCAACTTGTTTCCAATAATCACAACTATGTTACAAAAGCAATGCACTTTACTTGAACTTAATTGGATTGGTAAAAAAAAATTCTTGCAAAAGCTAATCTGAATGATGAAAACATTGAAATGATATGGCAGAAACTGCAGTGTCATTTGTTTTGCTACAACTAGGCCAATTTGTAATAAAAGAAAGTTGCAAATCTGCAGTAGAAGAAAGAGGTTCGGTAGCAGGGATTAAAAGAGACTTCAATGAGATCAAAGATGAACTTGAGAGCCTCCATGCTTCCCTCAAGGATGCAGACAAAAAGGCGGCTGATGACGGTGAAGGAGGAGGAGGAGGATCCAATGGAGTCAAAACTTGGGTGAAGCAGGTGAGGGAAGCGTCTTTTCGCATAGAAGATGTGATTGATTACTACAACATGTTTTTGGCAGAGAGGGCCAGTCATTCTATATTCAAATCTGCACTCCAAATGATTCCTGGCTTGAACACAATCATGAATACAGATCATCAGATTGTTTCTGAGATTCAAGACATCAAGTTATGTCTTCATAGAATCAAAGAAAGAAGTACAAGGTTTGAGTTTCTGTCTGACAATGATGCGGGAAGCCATAGACGGACTAAAGCTCCTAGAATTGGTGACCCTCGAATGGCTCCGTATTTCATTGAAGAGACTCAAGTTGTAGGATTTGAGTCCGCGCGAGATGAATTGGTCAGATGCTTGGTGGAGGGAAACAATGAGCTAATGTTGGTTGCTGTGGTTGGCATGGGAGGACTCGGGAAAACTACTCTTGCAAAGCATGTTTTTGATAACCAGCTAGTGAAAAAGAACTTTGATTGTAGATCTTTCATCACTGTTTCGCAATCGTACACCATCAGAGAGCTGTTGACAGAAATGATAAAGAAATTTTGCAAGGACAGCAACGAGCCTATTCCAAGGGGTCTGCAGAATATGGATGATGAAACTTTGATTAATCAAGTGAGACAATACCTTGAGTCAAAAAGGTACTTGGTTTTATTTGATGATGTCTGGAAAGATAATTTTTCTGATGGGATTGAACATGCCTTAATTAGTAATAACAAAGGAAGTAGAATCATTGTGACTACTAGAAAAATGCATGTAGCTGATTATTTTAGGAAATCTTTTCCTGTTCATGTCCATGAGCTACAACGTTTGCCTCCAGACAAAGCATGGGAGCTGTTTTGCAACAAGACGTTTAGAGGGCACTGTCCAACAGAACTTGAGGAGATGTCCAGAGATATTGTTCAAAAGTGTGGAGGGCTACCATTAGCTATTGTGGCCATCGGTGGTCTTTTGTCAACAAAAGCTAAAACCGTGTTCGAGTGGATGAAGGTGAGTCAAAATCTGAGAATGGAGTTGGATCGCAATGTGCATTTGACTAGTCTAGTAAAGATTTTATCTCTTAGTTATGATGACTTGCCTTACCATTTGAAATCATGCATGTTATACTTTGGTATATATCCTGAGGACTACACAATCAATAGGAAGAGACTTACGAGACAATGGATGGCCGAAGGGTTTGTTAGGCACGAGGAAGGAAGAACTTTGGAGGAAGCTGCTGAAGAGTGCCTCACAGAGTTGATACAAAGAAGTTTGGTTAATGTTTCTAGAGTCGGTTTCGATGGAAAAGTCAAAAGTTGCCAAGTTCATGATTTGTTGCGCGAAGTGATCATTAGAAAAATGAAAGATTTAAGCTTCTGTCATTTATGCCATAAAGATGATGAACAAGTTACTCTTGGAATAACTAGACGCTTTTCTATAGCAGCTATTTCCAACAATAACTTGACAAACACTAGCAACTCGGGAATTCGCGCTATATTTGTTTTCGACAAAGGTGAATCCCCTAAACAGCTCATGGATGGATTATCCGCCAAGTTCAAGCTTTTGAAAGTGCTTGATTTTGAGAATTCTTTGTTGAATTCTATTCCTGACAACTTGGGGAATCTTTTCCATCTAAGGTACTTGAACCTGAGTCATACAAAAGTTACCGTTCTTCCCAAATCCATCGGTATGCTAGTCAACTTAGAAACGTTGGATCTAAGGCAAACTCCCGTGCATGAGTTACCAAAAGAGATAAACAAACTCACAAAGCTACGACTTCTTCCGGCTTATTATAGAAAATACGAAGGGCATTATACTATGTTGAACTTTACAATCGGGGTCAAAATGCAAAAAGGTATTGGAAGCTTGAAATCTTTACAAAAACTTTACTTTCTGGAAGCAGATCATGGTGGAAACGACCTTATCCAAGAGCTCAAAAAGTTGAAACAATTAAGAAAGTTAGGCATAAAGCATGTTCGGGGAGAATACGGAAATGCATTATGTGAAGCAATACAAAAGATGGAGCACCTTGAATCTCTGAACATCGGGGCTATAGCTAAGGATGAAATCCTTGACTTGGATCTTGAGTCACCTCCAACCTATCTTAGAGTGCTCAATTTGAAATGCAAACTAACAAAGTTGCCTGAATGGATTCCAAATCTCAAGTATCTTGTGAAACTAAGACTTGGTTTGTCTAACTTCCAAGACGATCCACTAGACTCTTTGAAGAATTTGCCTAATTTGTTGAGGCTGAATTTGTGGGATGATGCATTTTCTGGTAAAAGATTGCATTTTCGGAAAGGAGGGTTTCATAAGCTGAAGGAGTTGGATCTGACTAGACTAAATACACTAAGTTCGGTATCTATAGATGAAGAAGCTCTACTTTGTCTCGAACACTTCAGATTCAACAACAATCCTCAATTGAAGGTGGTACCGCAAGACCTCCAAAACTTGAAAAACCTTCAATTCCTTGGATTTGCTGATATGCCGGTTGAATTAGTTGATAGCATTGATCTAGAGAAAGATGGACCATGCCATTGGATTATCAATCATATTCCGCTTGTACTAATTCGTCAGAAAGTAGGAGAAAAATTTCATGACTATAAGTTGCGCCCGATTCCTACTCAACGCATTATCTAAAACATTAAGGTACTCTTTCCTCTTACAATTTTAGGCTTCTACAATGTTACTTGTGTCATACTCAATTTTGATAGTTTTTTGTGTTCATGTGAACAGGTTCATATTCTGAAATCTCCATGTTGCAGCTCACATGAAGATGCATGTTGTCTCTTCATTCCTTCTATGGTGTGTTTAATAAATTATTTCCTTGAATTGAATCATCTACTATATATTCAAGTCAAGAAATGTGTACTCTATTAATAGACCAATGCTTCTGTTGTTTTTCTCCTTCTGTTTTCTATCATTTGTGTATGTTGTTTACTTTTGGTTGTTGTGTGGATGTCTTTCTATAAACAGTACAATGGATGTTTCAATTTGCTATGAAAGATGTATGCAATTTCGTTACTATTATTTACAGGATGTATTACATTGATGAAATCTACATGTTGTTGCAGATGATTGTTGTATGAATAATGATTTATTAGAAAAATCAAATCAAACATAATACATGAGTTGCTACAAGGAACCCCCAAACATTTATTCTGCCACAAACCTAGTCTCTTCCAAATAACATTCAACATGGGATTCCTAGTAATAAACTTTCTAGGAAAGTTTGAAGCTCTAAAAATTTCGGATTTTAATCTTCGGATATATCCATATTTTACACCCTTTAGACAGTAAGTTATAAAACATTTGACAATTTTTAATAAACCTTACATCTTAAGTTATTTATATATTTGTCATTCAATAATAAAATCAAATAATCAAACAAAAATGTCAGTGATCCTAAAATACAACGAATCATAATGAAAAATGTCAAAATGTTAATATATGTTCCGTTGCGGAATAAAAAATGGAGAAGGTTGCAGAAACTATGACAAAGCAAAGCTTCGGAGAATGATTATGTGATGCGGTACCGTGGATCGAAGGTTGCGATCACAATGCTTCTTGAACCTGAAGCGTTTATCTTGTATTGACGTCATTGGTCAATGTAGTTCTTGAATCGACGTCGCTAATCTCCGATACGACAGATCAGAGAAGGAATATCTGCATGGTTATCCCTCCAACGCTGAAGTCAGTTTAGGGTTCAAGATAATTGTAGTGAGAGTGGAGATTAGAGATTGTGTACCTGAAAATTCTTTGGGAAGGTATTTATACCTTAGGCTTAATGGAGCAGGTTGGACAACTAGGCCTCGTGTTATTGGGCCTTTGGCCAGCGCAGAGTAACGTGTCCTTGGGCCTTTGGCCGACACAAAATAGTTTCCCCCAAGATTCGCTAGACACTCAAGATGTCAGAGGAGTCTTTTGGTAGTCATGGTCAGTCCTTAGGAGTGGCTGTCCAAGCTTTGGTTGGCATGTGATACTTTGGATTTTCTAAAGTGTAATGAGGAACGTGAGCATTAAATGCAGTTTCATCATTGAAATCTTTGACGCGTGACCTGAAAAGCTATGGAGTGGTGTGACACAACTTATTGTGCACTTGAGTGTAGTTCTGTTCTCAAGATGAAATTTGACCGTTAATCCACATTAACTTCTTGCTTTCAATCTGATCTGCTCAATTGTTTTTGTTTATATAAGAATAGAGGGAATGTGGAAACACTTTTTCACAATCTTGTAGACTGAGTTTCCCTTGTTTCCTTTGAATCTTCCTCTCTTCTCAAATATGATTTTACGGGAGTAACCGTCACCTCACATTCAAAGCTTCAAAGCTTCGACTTTTAGCCTTCCGTTTAACTTTTTCTGCCTTTTCCCTTATATTTCAAAGTACATTCTCTTCACTTCAGCTTGTCATTCAAGCATTTCCTGTATTTTCGTTATGATGAGCGATAACCCTATTATCTTAAAAAGTGATTTAGAGGACAATGTTTCTTCTTCTTCGAGAAGGAGAATAGAGCCCAAGTCGCATTCTTTTCCCCATTCCTATAGGGATTTTGAATCGTAGATTGCTTCTCTCGTTGGTAGGGGTGGAAAAACGGGCCATGGCCCGACGGGCTAGCCCGTTCACCCGCCAAAAAATGGCGAATTGGGTTGAGATTTTGGGCTCTCCGTCCACCAAAGCCCGCTCTGCTAAAGACCACAGTCCGCCAAAGCCCTCCCCACAAACACTCGCCGCCCGTCAAAGTCCACAGCGCCTATTCGTTCAACCTGTCCTACCTTAAGCCCACCCCTTTTTAGTTGATTATAGTAATTTTTATTCTTGATGATTTTATTTTATGCATTTATTTGTGAATATATTTAATATTTTTTAAGTAAAATTTGTTTAAAAAATTCTTTTATAAAAAGTATTCTAAAAAATAAGTGAAAAATCAAATTGAAAGTAAGAAAAAAGCCTATTAATCTATTAAAAAATTAAAAAAAAAAGAAATAAAAAAGTAGGCGGGTAAGCCCGCCACCTTGGCAGAGCGAGCTAGATTTTTGTGCCTATTTTCACTTAGCGAGCTTGCCCGCCCCGTTCATTTTTTTGGCGGGGTGGGGTGGGGCGGGCGGGAATATGTTTGCCTTTCTCTTATTTTGAGGTGGTTGTGATAGATCATTTTAGGGTTTCCCCCTTGTAGCTTCATCCCGAAGCCAGGGCTTTCATGAAGGTGTTCGAACTCTGCGCCGAGTATAAGTCTTACAACCTTTCTTTGGAGACCTTTTTCAATCATTTTTCTGTGGCTCGTATCTCTCAGGATGATTGCTGAAGCGGTAAAGCGGCAAGCAAAAGTAAGTATTTTTATAGGTTATATCATATCGTCTCTGCATGGATTAGTGCTACCGAATTTCTATTTGACAATTTCTTGCATTTATGAGTTTGGGGTTGAATTGGGTTGGTTTGTATAAAAGGTAAATGCGGGAATTTAAGTTATGAACAGAAAAAAAATCCGTTCTTCGGAAAGGAGAAAACTCTCGGGATTGAATTTCACATACCCGTTAAATACTTAAAGGTTATGTCTAATGCAAAGTGAGAAAACAACTGTTTTGCTCTTCGTCGACGATGTCTCACGCAACTAAAACAACACAGAGGCATTAAGAGTCGATACCCACATGATTATTAAGCCTTAATCTATCTCTAGAGTTAAAACTCAATATGTGTTGATCCTAAATTTGAATCCAAGGAGTATATGTCTATAGCAACTCAAATCCAAATAAAGCAAGCAATTACCAACAATGATTTGTAAAGAAAGAATCATACAACACCATGAGTAATCAGTATACATACAAAATAAAGCATACTTAAAAACAAACCCAAACACTAGAGGGTTGCAAAGAGAAGAAAAGAGGAGAAAATTCAATCTTTCGCGGTGTCAAACACGATCAATCAAGCTCCCGACCAAAAATCATCCGATTACAAGCCACAAATGTTATTTTCTAAGTCTAACCTAAGGAAAATGAAGGTGATGACTTTGGGAACAAATACTCCAAAGAAAAACCCTAAAAATATGTTTATAATTCTATTTATACACTTTTAAAAACTCGCAGACCGGGCTTAGCGCATTCAGAGCACGCTTAGCGCGCTCGTTACTGTTCCGAAAAAACCAGCTTTGTATTTTTGCCATAACTTGAGAATCGTAACTCTGATTTGCGCATGGTCGGAAGCGTTGGAAATCTTATTAAATTTCCTATCTAACAATGACTAAATATCAACCAAATTTATTATTTTTTTCATATTTGTTTTGAGCCTTATTTGTTGACGAATTACTCAAAATCACACATTTGAAGTCGTGTCTTCGACACTTTATTGCTCATGCTCCCAATATGCATCAATACCTAAAAAATAAATAGAAAAATATGAAACGATACGCAACTACACTAAAACTAGATTATACACTAAATATACATTGTAATACGGTGAGAGAAGTGACTTGTTTTACATTTTATCGCAAATGTGCGGATAGCTAGAGTCACCACTGACTTTTTTTTATCCAATAAGGAAAGGGTGAAAATAACAGGAAAGACCTTGATAGATTTTGAATTCGGGGGGTAAGTTATGTAAAGGGAATGTGTTAGCACCCTTTTCATCCGTAGTTATCTACAAGCTCTTAATTGCTTAACTCACTTTTGTAAAACTTGCTTTGTGTGTTTGTGATTTATTTGAAAATATTTTGAAAAAAAGCCAATGTAAGACAGACTTTGTAATGATTCTTGTATCATTCCTCAAGAATACGTACAAAGTGTTTTGAAAATATTTGTTTGAAAGTGAGGTGTGAAAAAATATTTTGAGAAAAATTGTGAGCAAGCAATTAGGAGTTTCTTACCCACTAAAGTCTTTCTTATTCTTTTCCTTCTCCTTTAGAGATAGTACTATCCATACTATTAATTGGTAGGTAGCCCCATCTATTGGATGTGAAGGGACAGACGTAGGATCATTGTATGGTCATAGAAGGCAACTTGTAAGGACACTTTAGCAATTTTTATAAGGGACTAGATCATTTATCGAAAGGCAACATCGAAGGGTCATAGAGGGACTATGATCTTTTGTTCGAGGGACATTTGCTAAAGCGTCCCTACTTTTGAGGGACATGACTGTCTAATCGAAAGGCAACAAGAGAGGCTACTCTAGAGGTGCAAGTGTGCGAGTGTGTTGTTTTCAATTATTTATCTTTGACTTTAGGATTTTGCTATTGTTTGATTATTATCTTTCCATACAAACCCTACTTACTAAGCAGTAGCATAAAATAATAACAATAAATAAAGGCAGAAAGTAAAGGTAGAAACGTAAATCCTACACTATTACAATACTTCGGGGCAGATACATAATATAAAGTGCGGAAAATAGAAATCTATAACTTTTACACTCCAGAGCAGTTACATAATAATGAAAAGGAAAAGCGAGAAATCTAGGCTATTACAATTGTGAAAATATAATCGATCTAAAAAATGTAAAATCAAATGAAAATGGAAAAGAAAATATTTTTTTTTTGGTAAATTTCTTATGAAAAAAAGATTTATGATTAATTAAATGAAACTAAAATCTAATTAATTTTAATTAATTAAATTATTATAAAATCTAAGAATCTAATTGATTTTTCTTCACTAAGTTGATCAATGACTCCAGAAAGTGTCCATTTATTTCCATTCATCCAAACACCCTTATTGGCGATGGTTTATCATCTGGTGCCACTTTACTTTCCATTTGTTCTCAGTGCTTTCCCCATAAAACAAAATATAAGCCTATCACAACCAAGATGGAACCAATTGCACTGCATTCACAAGTTCAAGATCAAGTTATCATGTTAGATAGAAGTGTTGGAAAAAAAATACAGAAAATCGATTCATTCTATGTCAAAATTTTACCTTGTAAGTTGTACATTAACATTAAACTTAAACTTTATTTCATTCGATACAAAAATTTCTCAATCTAGTATTTTCATTTTTGTTAACATGTACTTTAGAGAACAAGTTAGCGTAACCCTAAAAATAGTTAACCTTTTAGTCGAAATTTGGTATTATATAATATAACTAGCAAGTGGTTAGAAGTGGTTATTAGTTAGTTAAAAGTATAAATAACTACATAATTCAAATACCGACAATTCATTTATTTAATCAACTTAGGCATAAAAGCCACTTCACTACATAATTTAAATAACAATAATAAAATAATATAGAGTATACAATGTATCTCTCAAAGCATGAATCTAAACGTTTCTCCAAAGTTACATAACTAGAGCATGACTCAACCCAAAATAAATATGGAAATAAAATAAGATAGCTCCTTCGGCTA